AACACTGAGACTTTGACAATCTGCAAGTCTTGGAAAATGGTATGTCCCTTTGTAGGCATGAGGAGAGTAAGGTTCTCCAAAACATTAAGTTTTAACTATATGTTAAGAGAACTGGAAGCAAATGCTTATGTATTTTTGTTTGTGGTTCTTCAAAGCTATAGCTTTGTTTCTATCTTAATCTGGTTTCTTTTAACATGAATTTGTAGTGTGAGCATAAGATGCCACATGATATTAGCAATCTTTGAGAAGTTCTCACTTTGTGCCCCTTGTAGGCAATAAATTTTAGATCTCAAATCATTCTACCCAAACTTTGCTCAATTAGGGAAAGCAGTTCTAGGGCCAGGGCTGCTCTCCTGCAGCCAGTGCCCAGATTGCTTTTAAATTTTGGCCTTAGATCTTTGATAAAATATCCTTTAGGTGAGCTGAAGGAATACCTAAACTGTTTTTTAATTGGGATGCTGCTCTTAAGTTACCACATCATTTATGCATATTCCCAGTGGTTTTGGCAGATACCATTTGCTATTTGCATATAAAATAGAATGAGTAAACAATAACTGTAGAACAGTAAGTTATACATGGTATCTTTTCAGCTTTCCCTCTGTATGTTTACTTTTTTTGTAGAGCACACTAACCTTACCTTTGCATTCTGATCTTCCCCAGATAATTTGGTTGTTTCAAGGCTGAGCTAAGTATTATCTAAATTATTACTTGCTGATTTTTTTTCAGATTATGGAAATTGATATTGCTGCCAGGTTGGACACTGCTAATAGTGACAGACTTACAGCGCTAAAAGCAGTTACAAACTTTGGTATGCCTATAGAAGAGTTTGATTCTGAGGGTGAGTCTTCTTGATAGTCATAGTTCTGATATATATCTGTAACTCCTTTAGTTTCTCAGTCACAATATTTTATATCAAGAAGTAAGTAAGTAGACTTTATTTAGATCTTACTAGTCGGACTTCCTTTTTCTCTTTAAACAGAGGCTGAAATCTTCCAGAGGAAACTCGATGAAACAACAAAGCTGCTCAGAGAGCTCCAGGACGCTCAAAATGAACGACTGAGTACAAAACCACCCCCTAATATGATCTGTCTTCTGGGTCCATCATACAGAGAAATGCACTTGGGTAAATACACTTTTTCTGATCATTCTTGCAGAATTGAGAAGTCCCAGCTGGTATCAACTCCAAGAAAAAAAACAAATCTCAAGGGCCATAATGTAGATTATGTGCTCTGTTAGGCCTAGAGGATTAATTTAAACTTCTTTGAATTTAAAGCCAGATGAAAATCTTTAATAGTAATTACAAGTATTTCCTCTTTATTCCTAAATGTCCCTAGAACTGACTGAAGCTTCTGTATGCTGTGGGATAGACAATAGTGAAATACCAATAACTCCATGAGTTTTGCAGTGTCTTTGAACAGGGCTCATTTAAATACTACCAAGTTATTATTGCAAGGCCAGCTTTGGTCCAGGATGGATCTGGTTATCAGTCTATTGAGTTACACTAATTAATACCAGTCATATATTCTTTAGTTATTTGAGCAAACCTGCTGATCCCACAGATCAATTACACAGCTTGTGTAAATGGCAGCCCTGTGAGATAGGACTTGTATGCAGGGTACCTGTTTGGCACGTAAAACTGACTTGTGCAAGACTATTCATGGTCTAAACTAAACTACATTGATGTGATTAGATAAATTCCCCATTACTGAAGAGATATGACCAAGTTGGTACAGTCTAAACCAGATCAAATACTATATTTTTTTATGGTTCACTACTTATGGCTTCCTTCTTAAGGGAAAACTACATTTGTAGGAACAAGAACAGTCTCTCTTTATATCCAAAGCTTTGTGCTGAATCCCAAAATCCAGCTATTACTAACACCAGTGCTGTGTGGGTGCCACCAGCCCTTTCCCAGCTGCTGCATGTGTGGCCCAAGTTTCATTAACTTACTTTTTAACTTCTGGTGTTTCCTGATGGCAGCAAGCCTTGGGCAGCAGCTGTTTCATTCCTCCTGATCTTACTTTGTCTCTTGGTTCCCAGGATGTCTTGCATGGCTGCACACAGCACAACACAGCTCTTCTGGTTTAGAAATATTATTTAACGTAGTAGCCTTTGTACTAAATAATTGAACTGTTTGCAGGGTGATTCAGCAATTTGGTTTCTATATATAGGATATAAACACATCCTCTTATCTGTTCCAGCGGAGAGAGTAACCAATAACCTGAAAGAACTTGCCCAGCAAGTGACTCCAGGTGACATTGTCAGTACCTACGGAATCCGGAAAGCAATGGGAATCTCGGTCCCTCTGCCTGAGACAGAAGACAGCTGGGTCGATTTGACAGAGGGTGAGTATATGAAAACATCTTGTAGCATCTGTTCAGCGGGAACAAAACTACATCTGCAAATCCTTAGACTGGCTTATGGTGGAACTTGTAGTAGTATGGTTCCAGTTTTCAGTTCTTCTCTCTTTATAAATTCTGTTTGAAATGGAAAGTTGCTGCCTTTGGTTTCAGTCCAATATGAATCTTTTGTGTGTATGGAACTTTGGTTCAGCTACACTGGTTACTTTACAATCCATCTTACAGCACTGCCAGATTTTAAATCTCAGTAATTCATTTAATTTTAGTTTTTCCATTTTGCGTGAGGTTGCAGGAGAGGAGTTAAAATGTCTCACTTGCTAAAATGAGAACATCATGATTCCTTCTGCAGGCTGCTGGCTGTGCACGCCTTTTGCTTAGTTTGGCCAGCTGTTGTGTTTTGGAAGTTGACAGTGTGAGTTCAGCTCACCTCCTCCAGCAAAAGTAGTGGCTGTTTTTGCTGGATTAGAGAGTCTGGTCAGTGGAGTCTCAGTGCCAGACCCTGTCCTCTCCCATTTAGAACATGCACAACAAAAGAGCACCCAGACTTAGGGTAGGCAGGGAGAATTTCCTCTCACGGAACATAATTCACACAACAAATTTACTCAATCTGTGGTTTATGAAAGTTTTCATTAAATAGTGTTTTAACTGAAAGAGCAGGATTAATTCAGGAACTCATTCCTATTTTTAAGGAAAGTGCTCAAAATTATTGAGCCTTTTCTATAACATTACACAGAGGCCTTGTAACAGAACCAAATGAAACAGGATTTTCTGGGACTGTTGCAGAGCAAACAGCTAACACAGAGCTATCTGCATAAATAGCAAATGACCTGAGGCGTGCTCTGCTGTTTATGCACATCTTCACTTGAGTGTTCTGTGGTCAGTGACATGCTATCTGTTGTAAACTTTCAGATTTTGAAGAGCCTAAAAAGACCATCACTGTCCCTGAAAACGAGTGTGGTGCAGTTATAAGCTGAAGATTGTGTTCCTTACAGCTGTTTGTTTGATTTTGTTTAAGAACCAGGTAAATGTCCTTCAGGTGCATTCGCCTTGTGTTTATTGTGTGTTAAACTACTTTTGTTTATTAAATTTTGAAGCTGATGGCTTTTGAAGGGTTTGTATTAGTTATTTCTGCTATGTAAATGCACTAAATTATTCTTTTTGCATTCTCTAATATTTTTTAACTCCTCTGCCACATTTAAGTTTTCCTAAATTTCCAAGTGTCTGGAAAAGTCAAAGGATAATGAAAACGTGCCTATATACGGTGCAGGGACTCAACCAAAAGTTTCTAGAAGCAATGTATAGACTTGTCTCTGAGTCTGGTTAGTGCAAACAATTAGTGTCTGAACTCCCCCTTTTTAAAATTATTGTGCAACTCTCATGGACTTGAGGAAGAGAAATAAACTTTTATACAAAACTGATGCAGTGTGGTGAATTAACAAAAGCTCAGCTTTCTGAATGTGGATTAATCTCCTCTTAGAGAAACCTTGCTGTGTACTTAGAGTATCCTAAAACTGGAGGACAAGCTCAGACCCATGACCAGAAATGAGACTAACACTGTCAGCAAGTAAAAGTACCCCATGGATGTGGTACAGTCATCTCTGAGACACTCAGGCAGACAGTTCTTTATATTGGGCAGAGGCATTAGCAGGTACTGCCAGATAATTAAAGATAATTAATGGTTCTAGGCTTATTTCTCAGAAAGCCTTCTCACATTGAGACAGTTCCCTGTTCACCAGAGGTGCAGACCAGGAGCACAGCTCTCAGGCACAGACAGCTCGGGCATTGTGGGGGTACAGGTGCAGCCTGTGACACACCCAAGGCTTTTCCTGTGGTCCCCATTTGCTCTCACACCATCACAGTGCTGCACATGGCTTCTACCACTACCAATGAGGCATCCTTCATTATTTTTAAATGTTGCTTTTCTTTCATCTGCGATTCCAGTATAACCCTGGAGTCAAGAGGAATGAGCTGTAGGGTTCCAGCCATTGCTGCTGTGTGCAGTGGCAGGGAACTGAACTAAGAGATAACTTACAGGCCAAACAGCACCCTCTCCCCTCAGTCTTATGGCCAACATCATCCTTGCTTCCTTCCTTCCTCTCTAAAAATGCTGCAGAAAGATTTGTTTTTAGACTTTCACAGTTACTAAAATACATTGCAAAATTTTTAATTGTCAGTCTGGGTTTTTCTCCAGCAGTTTCACTTGTCCCAGAAGACTTAATAGTCACCACTGGAGTTTTTTCAATTCTAGGTAATAGCAGCTGAATTATTACTCATAAATTAATGAATTTTTCTGTTACTGTTTAAATCATTTTCAGGCTACAAGAAAAAGACAATATTTAGGGCAAATGTGCCAGCCAAATCCTTACTGTCTCTGTCCATAGCATGTCATTGCCCATCACTCACCTTATAGATGGTGCAGTAGGTGGCTGCCAGTGACAGAAGTATTGGCATTTCTCATCAGCTTTAGAACATGTAGATGTCACTAAGCATTTTCTACTGGCAATATTTTTTAAAAATATAAGTATTAAGTTTAGTTCATGAGTAAAAACAGTCCTATTAAGTCTGCAGCACTATAAAAATATAAAATATAAAAAATATACCTCCTTTTCATGGGTCCATCAAAATAAATGCTAAACTAAACACATTTCAATGAGTTTTTTATTTCATAGTAAAAACAAAAGTTTGTTCTTTAAAACAGATTTCTAGTTCCAGATGTTATTAGCTCTTCAAATTAGATACAGTGCCATTTTTTCTATTTAAGAAAAAAATAATGCTGCAAGAAAGATTTTTCCACTGAGATTCTTTCCTCAATGTTAAGTTTCACAGTTCACTCTCAGAAGGACTGCTGAAAAGAATTATTTCAATACAGTTGCTTCTTAAGTTGAACTTTTTCTGTGGTTGAATATAGTTCTCATATTGTAGAGTTCCAGATCTGGTGAGAAATTAGTCATCCTCTTTTTCAGTACACACAGTTTCTGACTTCTCCAAGAAGGCTGTGCACAGCACACCAAGTGAGCATTCTTTTTAAACCTGCAACCAAACCCAACTCCTTCCCCTTTGGAAGCTGCAGCTCTTCCTGCCACTTCTGCAAATGAGGTTGAGTTGAAGTTACACCCAAATAAGTTACCAGCCTGACAGGCAACACCATGTAAACAAAAGTATTTCAAAATGCTGGTACAGACAGCAAATGTTCTTTCATAGATAACTTACATCTACAGTCTAGTAGTTCTGTGAACAGGAGCACTTCAGAGCCAGCTCTATTTATAGGCATAATCATTTTTCAAAATAGATTCATGAGGCAAATGGTCACTTTACCTAACATGACATGACGGACTGCTTAAAGGAGCCTTTGACACATGCATGGTCCTGTAAAACAATAAATATCTCAAATCAAATGCTTGCTGAGCACCTGTAACTACAAATACACAACATACAAGAGTAGCAAAAGCTGTTTGAAGGTTTATTCAACTACAACACTGACTTGCACTAACATGACAGTGAGTATGACCCTTCTTCAGCAGAGCCTATGTGTGAGCTAGACAAAAATTCAGGTTTTCTTACATGCTGTTTTCTGTTGGAGACTACTACACACATATATTTGATCTACAAAATTGATAAAGACTACAAGTACGATTTTTAATCCACAGTTGGACAATATTTAGGTTTGTTCCTGTCTTGAATATAGTCACTTCCTATTCTAAAGAAACTACACAGTAATTAGAAAGCAGCAGTGAAGCACAGGACTGCTTAAACACTTGTCCAGGATGGGTTGGTACTAAACCCAGCAGCATTAGGAAATGCTGTTTGTAGGGGAGTAAGGCTCAGCCAAACAGGAGTTGTACTCACTAATCACTGTGCTGTCCAGCCCTGACATGGTATATGGGGAAAGGGGGAACCCATCCTTAGTAACAGACATAACTGGGCACAAGATGTTAGCCTTACAAACTGCTATCATCTCCACCAACAGCAAACAGATTAACAGACTGCACTAAGTAAAAAATGCCATAGAAAAATGCATAGAAATTAGCAAAGGACACTAACTGCTTAAAAACCTTACAATCTAAACTAATTTACGTCATGTCCACAATGATCTTATGAATGCTCTACTCATACTTCCAGTATTGAGGTTCTGCTGAAACATTTCATTATGAATACATTTTTTCCATACCTTCTTTATAACCCTCAAAACCAGTTTTTGAAAAAAAACTGCACTGCCTTTGAAAGGCATAGAAACCAGCCAGTGGCTAGTCAAATTGTAGAAATAAGAACAGAAAAAAAAACAACCACTACTGACACAGTTCTCTTTATACAGTATCTGCTACTGTTTCTAATACTATATTAGTAATTCTGTTCTTCAGCTTCCCAGAAATTCAGAACAGATTATTTTTTCTTCCCTAAGTGCCCTCAAGAACACAGCACAGAATCAGAATTCCTGCTGGGATCAGCAACACCAGCTGCTGTCAGAGCCTGACCCTGTGCTCCTCACCATCACTTGTACTTTTTGAAATATAAAAAATTCAAGATTTACCATGACAGAACAAAATGCACACACAGATACTAATTACAGAGAAATACAAAGGAGAACATGTAATATAATGTAAACACGCTGAACTAGATGAAAGTAATTTCTGAACAGCTCTTGGTCATGAAAACATCTGCATAACACAAGGTACTGCTGTGGAGGAGGCGAGGGTGGTGAAGTGACCCCATACTGTGCAATTCAGCTTTTTTTCCCAAAAGAATTCAGCACAGTTACCATGTGACACACTTGAGTTTCCTTGTATTCCTCTTCCCATTATTCAGCTGTCTTCTGCTGTGCAGTCTGTTCAGCATTAAAAGCAGGATACGCAGTGCCCTCAGTATCAGCACACACGTCAGGACAAACACAATACTGTAAGCAGGTGTGTGCCAAGCAGGCAGTGGAATGTTTTAACATGGGAATGGCTTCTACAGTGCATCCACACCGGCTGTCACTGAGCTGCTAAGACTCCCAGTGTGAGGAAAACAACTAACTGAAAATGCTTCATGGCAATTCCAGATAAATCTTCAAATTACTTCAGGAAAAAGTAGTCATTTTCAGACTGACAGTTGTGTATCTTCTAGGAACCTCTCAGAATTCTTCATTATTTAAAAAAAAATTCTCTCATCTTGAGATGTAGAAGAGATAGGAACAGTATATACATGTTTTTAGAATAATAGTCCTTCACATAAGGAGGGAAATTCTACGTCTTCACAGAAGGGAGGCAGATCTAAGTCTATTTTGATTAACTTCATTGTAGCCTCAGTTCAGTCCCATGCCTTGGAATTTGGCTGTCTCAGTGCAAACAAAGTAAGTCCTCAGTTCTCCCTTGCCTTTGACATTAATGAGTCCCCTACATTCACATGAGTATCCCAGCTCCTGTAGTATTTTGCTTGTTTCTTCTGTGACCTTTGTGTGAAAAAAATTAGAAAAGCTTGTGAAATTCTTCTGATTATTCACATTAAAGCAAAATTCCACAACCAAATAGAAATAATGCCTTAGACATTGCAAGGCTCATAGGTTTACCTGGATCTTGCCAAGCTCCCCTGTGCTCTCCATTCGGCTGGCAACATTAACAGTGTTGCCCCAAATGTCATACTGAGGCTTCCGGGCACCAATCACACCAGCAATCACTGGACCATGATTGATCCCTACAGAAACACAGGAAGCTGTCATTACTGAGGGAAAAAGGGATGTGATTGTGTTAGCTGTAGATTCAGGGGGAAAAAAACCAAAACTTAACTGCAACACCTTTCCAGTAATCAGCATTAGTCCTCTTCTATAAATAATCACACTGAGGCTCAGGAGATGTGAAGTGACTTACCATTGCAAAACAGGAAGTCTAGGGCACAAAGCAGAATTCTTCCCCTTCTACTTTTAATATATAGAAATGAGCATTGTAATGACAATACTGTCTTTAGTCAACAGTCACTAACAGGGTACTTCACTTTTCATCTATATCTTTCATTTCTTCCAAAGTCATCCAGCTACACTCTTCCTGCTGCTCCCTCCAGTGATGAGAAAAAGCCCACCCGTGGAAGAGCTTGGCCTGTCTGAAAAGCTGACCAGACAATATTGCCTTTGGCTGTTCAGCACCTGGACCTACCTCATCCTACCTACTTCTCACTTGTGTGGGCTGTGGAGTTCCCATTCCCCACAGACAGAACTTACCAACGCGCAGGCGGAAGTTGTTAAAGGAATGTCGGTTGATGCCATCCAGTTTACTCATCAGGGCAATTCCATACTCCACCATAATCCCAATGTGAGCGTGCTGCCTTTCCCTATCCTGTGCAAGTCATAACACATGTTAATGACCAAATTACAACACAAAAGGCTGTGTCAGGCTGCTACTCCAAAGCAGCATTAGAAGTGACTGGAGTGTTTATAAGGATGAGACCACTCATCCTTGTAAATGCAGAACTGCAGAATTTCAAAACTCCATTAATTACAGCTGGGATGTCTGTGAGGCAACGAGAGTGATATGATTAAATTTTATAACAAATTAATGTCTGCCCTTTATGGTTTTAGCTTTAATTCTGCATATTTTGGGCACATTATTATATGCATCTTAATGTCATACAGAAACCTGCTATACTGAAAATGAGCCAGAGAAATTAGTGTTAATTATTCTAGGTAACAGTTTCAGACCTAATGTGGCACTTGAGGATTCTCTTTCTGTGCCAGTTCTCAGGTATCAGAAAAAGCCTACTGTCCAGTTCTGAGATGGCCTTTTCTTTGGCTCCCATTCTTTGACTCCCCTATTTTTAGAGCCCTTCTGTTACACATCTAGGAATGTTAAACTACTGGAATCAAAGATGAAATAGGTAAAAAGTATGCTGGGATTACTGAATACTTTAATTCAAAAATAAAATGGAACTAGGAGGTAAATAGTGAATTCAGCAGGAGACAATACAATTTTGTCATCTTTTTCCACATTTCAGGAAATCACCATTCATTATGTACTGTTTCGTATCATGTTATATTTTGTTACTTTGAACACACCTATGCACCCCCAGAATACTGAAGGCAGATTCAGAGCAAACATACCTGGTTGTTCTCCTGGCCTGGTGTAACACTGAGACCAGCTGCTGCCATGTAAGTGCTTCCAATTGTTTTTATTTTCTCAACACCGCTAAATTTAGGTTTTAACAAGAGCTGTTTGAATGGAAAGAAAACAAGAACTTGAGACTTCAATACTATATTTCAGTGTAGTATTTAACTAGAAATCTCATACTGTCTACCATAAGCATTAAACATCTCTAACAATACTATCACTCACATGAAGATTAGATGAAATATTGAGGGTTAGTTTCACAGTTTTGCTCTACCTACTCAAAGGAGAAATGAAAGCATTGAGGTACTGAAAGTCCTTAAAGTCAGAACTTTCAAACCGTACTTCTAATGGATTAGATGATGCATGTGAAAATCCCAACCAGATGGGAAAATATCTTTCAAGACTGCAGTGCTGAAGTCAGATTATTAGTACAGCATAAAAATAGGTTTTCCCCCCTCTAATGCTCACAGATCTAGTGAAACATTTATTTTGCAGTAAATATGTAATCCAGTGCATTTTTGACAGAAGCTTAATTACCTCATCAAAATCAGCAATGATTTCATTTAACAGCCTCAAGCATTCCAAACCTTCTTTATTGACATCACATTCAGTGTAAAACACCTTAAAATCTGGTACCGATGCAAACATGACACAGACACAGTCGTAGGATTGATGGTACCAGTCCTAAAGGAAAGCAATAAACCCACACATTGTCAGCAGCCACATTCCCCCTCAGGTATTCACACTCATGATAATTGTTTGTAACCAGTAATCAAATTACAGCTTTCATATGAAGTCAGCCACATCTCTTATTCTATCAGAAACATTAACAAAGTGGATTTGCCTAAGGAAAAGCTAAGATTCTTTAAAGAGAGTTTCATCTTAAACATTTCTCTTTAAACATTTTCATCTACTTGGACATTATCACTCTTCTGAGATACAGCATTGTCCTCTCTGATGACATGCTGGCAGAATGAGATTTCTTTAAAAAAATAATTATTATCAATGAACTTCTCTCTGGACATACTGTCTGCTCCTCAACTCATTTCCCTCAAAACTGTGATCCATCCGCCCTGCTAAAACAGTGTCTTGGGAAAGCAGTAGTAGATCTCATTAAAATATTTGCCAAACTAAGTCTTGAAGCTGAACTACTAATTCTGAGAACAGATTTCAGGGACTGACACTAGAAATATTCATTTGTTTGAGGCCATCTGGTTAACAGATTCTTGGGTTTACAATGGTCTTGGAATACAAACAAAAGTCAAAAATTGCACAAATTTACAGTCTGTGTTCTTTTTCACATCATGTGTAATATATATCACAGAAATCCAATTTGCTGTTCTTCACATAGGAGAGGCTCAACACACCTCATTTCGTTTTTCTCCAATGAAATATGCAGCAACGTGTGCTGGAAGTACATTTTCCAGCAAAAGCCTGTTAACATTCTCCATAGTTTCAAATTGTTCATGTTCTTTTTTAAACTTATTTTTCCACAGACAATCCAGTCGACAGTAATAGTCAATCTGCAAAGAAATCAAATATGATAAATTAAACCCATAAAATAACTCACTGAAGAATATTAGGCAATTTTCTCAAGAAGTCTAGTAGCAATAGTTTCTTCAATGCCTTTTGAGCCTATATAGTTATGAAAAATGTGCTTTGAGAGCAAAGGTCAGAAAAATATGAAGCAGCCACTAAGACCAAATGTCATTTGATACCATCAGGTGTATTAACCAAAATGACACTTTAGTAATATGATTATTTTTATCTTGAATTGCTATGTTGATTTAGAATGAATACTGATATATAAATGCAGATAGATCAAAACTGGAAGAGCCAGGAAGTTCTCCAGGGCAACATCTGTGATGCAAACACTGTTGAAAACTAGAAAAATGTTCCCATCCTTTCATAGTAAAAACTCTTTCATCACCAAAAACTCATTATAAATGTGTTATCTGCAAGATCAGAATATTAAAACAAGATAAAAATATATACTAATTTAAAGCACAATTTCAAGGAACAATACTTTTGCATTTCATTTAAATCAACTTGCTGCAAGTAAAGGAACTAGGCAATTGCGTTTTAAATACATACCTGTTTTGCAAGTAAAACTAGAGTTACGTAAAACAGAACCAGATATAAATTAGTCATTATCCTTGGTTCTTTGATGAAAAACCTGAAAATAAGAAAGCAATACAAAGTCATCTGTATGCTTAAAGAAAATCTGCACGCTGGAGGGTTGGGGTGGGAGGTGAGGGGAAGGGGGTGTCTGTCCAGACTTGCACCACAGTGTCACTGTTCATTTGTGCCAGTGGCTGGCAGGGGACAGGTCCTGTCCTAACAACGAGAAAGGATTATCAGCCAGTCTAACACACGGAATAATGCATTTCACATCTTGACACACTGGGTGTTGAAACCTTGTTCAGTAGCTGCTACAGTGAGATGCTCAAGTAAACATGGCTTTATCTTAATGGAGCCATCTTAATTTCCATCAGACTGAGTTTCAGCTCCCACCCCACACTGCCCTACAAAAGCACAGCCAGCAAAGCCTTGAGGTAGGAAAAGAAACTTTCTTATTTGTGGAAGGAAAGACAATAACAAATTAAAAGCCTGAATTCCTAAGACAAAGGCAGCAGTTAAATCATACCTGTGTCTGAATCACCACTCATATTTCATAGTAAGATCAGTCTTACCACATCTATTACTTTTTACAAATGCAAATTAAATTCTCATCATACGAATGATTAAGTTCACCCAAGCTTTTTTGAGGTGTGCTGACAGGTTACAGCCCTTGCAAAATAAATTTATTCTAATCTTCAGCAATGAGACTATGCTGAGGAACCTGAGAAAGACTTAAAAACTAATAGTAAACCTTTTGCATGTAACTTCTCTCCAGTGTTTTCAGTTTCTGCAATTAGATCAGGTAAATTGCTGTTATTTTCCAAAATACCTGCACTTAGGTTAGTACATGAAGAGTTCACCATCCTGTTGACAACCAAGCTTGAGCCTCAGACTTTTAGCAGTTTTTCTTCGTAATTTAACACAAGAGCAACCTTACTATGACATTTATGCTCTACACTCTAGTCCTTAATATAATCCAAGACTTCCTGGGATCTCAGAAGCCACATTACAGAATGTTTTCAGATAACATGTCCTTTGTTTAAAAAGTATATGCAAAAAAAGGTGACACGGTCTAATAGGGTTTCCATGTTGTCAATTTTACAGAAAGGTCTGCAGTGTCTGGCTTACATGATTTTGGTATGTCAATATTCCAGTAAGTGCACAAAAATCTAACAGCTCCTTAAATGCAAAGGATGAGAAAAGGATGAGAAACTTTACAGTGCACCTGGTACTGTTGCCATAGTTGTCTTTGTGTTGAAGGGTATTAAAAATGATGAGGTAGACAGTCACAGCAATGGACAGGAGGAGAACTTTGAGTTCGAAGCTCATTTGAAGAAAAACCGAGCAGGCAATGAACCCCAATATGCAGCAGTAAGCATAATACTGTAAAAGAGGAATGTAAAGAGCCTTTGTGTTATCCAGAACTTATGTCTAAGAAATGTTCAAACCATAGCAAATGCTCTGAGTTCATGGTCACTGCAATTTAAAGCAAAGAAATTACAATCACTTAAAGTTGTTTTGTTTTGTTTTTTTTTTTAATGGCACTAAAAGGATGAATTTAATACTGATTTTAGTTTACTTTTATAATTTGTTATGGGTAAACAAAAATATTTAAACAAAAAAATCAACATAAGTAAGCAATGCTAGATAAAAACTGAAGAATTGATAATTTATCTACTGAAGTTTATTAATTTTAGCAATTATTTATTTAAAGTTCAAGAGTAATCTCAAGTAGGTTCACAGCCCATAGAACCAGCACTGAACAAGTCCAGCACTCTGATCCTATTCTGACTGTGCTTTCCCATTGGAACCTAGAGCAGATACCCCATTCCCAGCTCCCACACCAGTAACACATGGAGACCATGACTGGTTTTCCAGCCTGAGACACAGCTCCTTAGAAGAACAGTGGTGCTAATAAGCAGTATCAAGCTATGGCCACTATCCCCATTATGGAATTACTGAGCACTTTGCCAGGGGAATCCCAGCTCAGGCAGGGGGTCCAAGGTTAGCCTGCAGCTGGCAGCACCAGACATGGCACCAAGTGTGTGGTGCAGACAGGACTGCTGCCTTCAGCCACGGGCACAGATGTGAGGTGCTCAGCTGGCATACTTCAGTCTACAAGCAGCTCTAAAATTACCTCAGCTTCTGCTCTTCAAGAATTCATTTCTCTTTATGCACAAAGTGCAGTTTTCCCACCTGTAATAGCATGGGCCTACTACAGAACTGTGAGATTCTTGGCTAAATAAATAACATTTCCACTGAAGTGAATGAAACCAGAACAATTTATGAGTGAATTCCTAATCAGAGCCCATATATTACACATTATACCAACTCTGTATATTGTAAAGACATTGAGTCTACCTCCAAAAGATACTGAACACTCTCCCTCAAGCCAAACCTCTGTAAAAGGAGCCACTATGTAGAGAATGCCAAGAGAAGCCTGTCAGCCACTTAAGCCCTTTCACTCTGTCAACACATTTTACTGGGACATTTGCAAGTACAGCTCTTATCTTTCAGACTCAAACATTATCATCACCCTGTTCTGCTGGTTTTTTCCTTAAAGATTTAGACCTACTTCTCAGTCTGAAATTCCTAAAAACTGCAAAGCCATACTTTACTTAGTGCAACAACAGCAGCTGAATTATCTTGATTTCATTAAGAATTTTTCTACTGTCAAATATCTAAAAAAGCTTCCTTTTATACAACAACAGAACCTGCCATTTGTCAGTAATATACATGATGTTCAAAGATCAGGCCTAAGTAAGATGCATTCACTACTTACAGTTTCCTCTATGCAGGAATGAGTTGTGTTTCCAAAAGCCTGATTTACAAACATGCAAGAACAAAAAATTACCAGGTAAGCACAATGTGCATTTCATATGTGTAACTTATCATTTGCCATAAGCACCTGAATGAAAGGCTTCTCATACAACTTGCTGCACATAATTCAAAAATATGTCCATCATCTAAAGGGGTGGCCAGGTAACAAAGGAGCATCCCAAACATTTGGATGAACTCAAAATAGAACACTACTTTGGCATTAAAGACATAAAAAGTGAAACCCCCAGAAATAATACTTTTGTGTCACTAGTAAGTACTGAATTTACCCTTACATAAATGCTGGAGAACACCTTTCAAATATGCTAGGAGACCAAAATAAACCAAAACTTCAGTTTTTTTACATGAATACTCCAGACTTCTGAAAAATCCCTAAAGGATGCACAAGAAAGCTATATATAAAAATACAAAATATCCCTTAAAACTGCCTTGTGTCATGAGCAAGTCTTCATCTTCAACAATTTAAAAAAACCAAAACTTTATCTTTATAAATAAGAAGAAAAAAATTTTAAATATTGCCATCCACCTCCATGATAGGAGTAGGACTTCAGTGATCCTTGTGGGTGCCTTCTAATTCAGGATGTTCTATTATTCTATACCCACCATCCAAAACTCATTTCATTTTAATCCTAGAAATTCAGATGGTACTCTACTCACATAGGTGGTAGCACTCAGGTCATTTGATCCAGTAAAGTTGGCAGGTTTGTTCTTTTCAGTAGTCTTGATTTATTGGAGGGAAAGGAAAAAGAAATACAAAACACATCAATAAAACCACCATACAAACTTATTAGCAGGTAATCACTGATGTTTTTTCTCCATGTATTTGACAAAGAGTGCTGATCTGGATGTCTTTTCAGTGCTACTGAATAAATGTTGAAATACAATTGCACCCCATATAGTTGTATTAAACATGTATGCAGACACAAGCTGCAAAAAGGTTAAAATTTACTTATTTTCTAATTGGGGGTAAAGGTTTAAATTATGGCTATGTTAATTTAGCAGCTATTGGGCACAAACATGGTTTTGTCTCACCCCTCAGTTTCACAGCTGCTGTTCCTGTTTTCTTTCAGTCTGTCTCTGGTGGTGATCACATGACACCACTGTGAGTCAATTCAAGGACCTAAGCCAGCAGAAAAAACACCCTATGAAAGAAAATTAAGTGTTTTCTGCAGTATTGCTTTCAGAATGAACTCCCCATGGAATCAAAAGAATGGCGGGGCAAACAAACACTTGGGATCAGGAGGACATCCGTTTTAGTAGTTAACTATCAGTTAAATGGAACTGTCAACACACAGAGATTGTTTAAATAAAAAAACCAGCACAGTAATTCAAGTGTACATGCCCTAGGTACAATAAAATATTCCAATTTAAAAGACAGATGCCATTTCCACCTTACTCCAGCAGTACCTACCCTCAATGCCTTTGCTTTTAGGAGAGAGCCAAGTTATATTCTTCTCTCCCTCATCTACATTACTACCAGTGAGTGCAAACACCACAGTGAACTGCTTAAAGTGCTGCCTGCCACTGCCAAACATTTAAAACCACATTAAAATAGGAAAACATCTTAGTGATGAGGGTTACAATCAAGAGCTGTTCTAAGTGTCATCTTCAAAACAAGAAAAGTTTGTAGAACTGAAGTCTATCACTTGTACTTTCAGTTCCACAAACTAGGAGCTTTTATTTTTAATGCTTTTACTTGACGTCATGCACTATCCCTGTGCAAATCAACTCCTGCTGTAAATCAGGCATTAGAAAAAGCAGCAAAAACTGGTACTTGATGAAAAGTATGCAGGAAGTTACTTAAACTGTGGATTTTCAATAAGTTAATCAATTAATGTGATTACTTACCAAGTTAAAAATGGCTATAATCAGCAAGGCAGCTATAGTGATGACTGCTAAAGGCAGCCTAAGTAAAGGCATTGTTTCCACCTTCTCTGAGACGGCACACAGATGGCGCAGGAGAGGCCGCTGATCTGAGCAGCACTTCTGGAAACACAATTAATTTCTTTCAGTAACAGGGATAACATTTTGATACAGGGGAAGATATATTTCTAAATATAAAGTTGACCTTTTTTCTGCAGGAGAGTGTCAAGAGCCTTCACTGGAATTCTAATTTAGAACTTTGAATCTCCTCATTCGGAGTCAATGTCTAACACCTTTCCCCAGCTAAAAATAGAGACAATGTTTCCTTTCTTCAAAGGGGTTGGGTGCTAAAATTTTTCTGAATTTGTGCTTTAAAAATACAGAATTATGATCTGTTTGAAAGTTCTAGAGAAAAGTTAATAAAAATGCAGTAAAAATTTTGTATTATTTTAGTTATAGAGCTATAATACTATATTTGTAACTACATTTTCAGATTAATAAATTAAAACCAACCTAGACAGTCTCCATTCTTGCCATCCCTATGTCCTCCAACTGTTGCCATAGTCAAAAACATTCAGTAAAGCATATGATTTTAATGACTGAAAGCATTATTCCATTATTTGGCTACACCAAAACACTCCTAGCATAAAACTTAAGACTGATGCAACTGCAGTCCTGGAATTTTCCATTTTCTACATGTGTAGAAAAAACACATTAATGCATATACACACATATACCCCTCTCTCTCTACAGACATATATGCAAAAATTCATGTTTATACATATATAAATACCACACATACATAAATTCCATAAATCTGTCTAACCATACAATTAGTGAGTCATAAATCTTTATCCCATGTCCTGAGTGCAATTTTCTCTTATTTTTTTCTTTCCCCTTGACACAGCTCAACCATGGCTCTGTAAGAGACTCTCTCTTTCCCTGGAGAGCCCCATCCCCTCTCTGGGTGCTGCAGTGCAGTGGTGCTGCATGTCCTTGCTCTGGCACATGCAGGTTTGATGAGTGCAAGGAACATTCTATAATCCCTTCTCTAAAATCTCTTCCCTCTCCCCACCCTGCTCCCAGGCAGTTCTGGAACTGAGGACTTTTTTTTTAACTCTGTATCGTTGAACTCCTCATCACTATGGGCTCTCTCCATCACTATATATTTTTAAACAATAATTGCATGTGTTAAATAATGCAAAGAAAAAGGAACTACAAGTGCAAAGTGTCCCAATTGATGTAATGGTGAATTTGGAATTCTAAAAGCCATTAAATTGTTGCCAATAAATTATTCATATGTTTGTAATTTTCATTACACTTCATAAATTATTATGAAAACTGATCTTCTGTTCCAACTTCTTTTAATATTGTTCCCAGCATAGAGAACAACAGTATTTACAACCAAAATTACTATTAATGACAAACATAAAAATAAAAATACATTTTAAAAATCCAACCCCATGTCCTCCCTCCTACCCATCTATTTTTTGCACTCAAATAATTCTGAATTACTATGAGAATTTTTTCAGACATGAAAATCTGTTTCAGAGAATGGAATCTTCTGGTAACCTGAGGTTCAAGGCTCCTGTAACTCCTATTGAAATTACTAAAATTTCATCAGTCTAAAAGACAGACCAAGTTGCTGAAATATACCCATCCACTTTTGAAAACAGGAAGTGTTTTTTAAAAGTAAACTTACCAGACACTTCTCAGCAAAGCACACAAACAAAATAAGCGCAATGATGACTGCAACAACTCCAAAGGAAATTCCCACTTCTGCCGTTCTAAAAAGAAGAAGAAAGCACTAAAAAACCCACATTTAAATATGATTTTTCTTCAAATAGCACTGAATAACTGTAACATCACACAAGTTATGGTTGCTCTGTTGCACAATCACTGCTTTAAGAGATTCTGCCCTTGATGGCCTGAGCCACTGCCCTGTGCATAAACCACATGGTAACTGCACTGCAACAGCCATGAAAAACAAACATACACTTCAGAATTAGCCATCATCTGCTTTCTTGGAGGTGTGACTAGCAGCTCAAAGTTTCCCCCTTGTAGCTCTACAGAAAAGAATCACTGAGCACAGTTTAACCAGCTAAATCCCATTTTCCTACTGCTCAATGTCCTTACAACCAACTGTGCTTACAAAATAGTATTTCTTATTTAACTGACTTCCTCCCTGTGTGTACTAAGCAAACAAAATCGTAAAGAAGTCTTTCTATTTTATTTTCATACTAATATCTTGGATCTTATGCCAACAACAGGAATGCAATCCTTTATCATGGGATAAATTAATGTATGTTTCTTAAATTTAACCCTTCAGGAACTCCAAAAAGTTCCATGCACATGAGGTTCACTTTAGCTGTTGGTTAATTGGAATAATAAATAATTAAAATACCAGCACTTACTTTGGCATGATAAGCATCTGGATCACAAATATACAGAGGAACACAAAGCTGGCACACACGAAGTAACTCTTGAGTTTTAGAATAGGAATGGTGCGATACTGAAACACAGAGAGAAAAAAGCATCAGGGTCATTTCAGGGGTGTTTTTTCTTAATTTTATTACATTCTTGTGATGACACATATATACAAGTTTATACAGTATTATTAAAAATGCACTAAAACAGAACAAAAGAAGACCAGCACGAAAAAAAAACAAACTAAATCACTTGAACATTGTTCAAGAAAAACAGCCTAGGCCAAAGGATAATTTCCAAATTTCCAGCCTAGAAGGAAATGCAGGCAGTATGTAAAACAGCTCTCCATAGATGCCCGCAGTCAAAATCCTTATCAAGAAAGGACATACACAGAAGTAAACTAAAGTGTACATACAGATCTACACCAGTAACTACATCCACAGCACAGTAAATTTAACAGCAGTTATTCAAACAGAAGAACTACACTGCACCTAACAAATACCAGCATTATATCTACAATGAAACAGCCACAGAAAACAAAGTGTTTTCATTATGGATGCAGAAATCTTTTTTTTTTTTTTTCTTTCCTTCTTTAAATCTCATTACTTTTGAGGGAAGTAGTTTATATAAGAAAACATCAAACTCCCACTAATTCCCTTATTGCAAAAATTTGACCACAGATTAGAGATCCTCTTGTTTAAGCTCAGAATTTGCATTTTCAAGGAAGAATGACCAGTTCAAACGACTCCTGATATGTGCTTTCCATTAGTTACCAGAAGCCTCTTAGGATGTGCAGTCACCTCCTGAATCCAGTTTCAGAATGAAAAGTTTCAAACATATTCTTATCCAGCTCTGAAGGGTAAATCAAAGACCAGGAAGGATTATTTTGCTCTAACCAACCTCTTTTTCAAGACCAGGTTCTGCAAAGATGAGTGAGAATCCACAGAAGTCATCTGACCTGCCACACCAGGGACTGCAGCCAGAGAGAGACAGGGGTTACCAGGAGCACACAGGGGCCAGGGACAGACACAAAATCATTGCTGCACCTGAGACCCCACAGCCACTCAACACACGTCTGATGCTTCTGCAAGGTCTTTATGTTTCATAGCAGAACAAAGCAGTAAAAAATAGCAGTAAAAATATAGCGTTTTTACTCATCTGACAGGCAGATCCACAATAAATTATTGTGGATCCCCTTAATAATATCAGACTCCTATTAGGAACACCTGAAGTACAGTCTTCCTAGAATTTAAATGGAAGAAAAAGTTTTTCTTCAGTGTTTTAAGAATTTGTTAGGAATTTAAATATTTTATTTTAATTTAAAACAAGACAAAAAATTTTAAAAATAATAATAAAAAAAGGAAAACCCAAATCACCACCACTGACTGTGTTTGTCTGCTTTTAAATGCCAATGTACTGCCAAAGGAATTACCCGCCCCGACAGACCACTTGCCTTCATTGGACCAGACACTAAAGCAACTTTATTACCCACAAAACTTTGACTTTGTATGTAGCTTTTTGTTCAGGACAGCACCCCATCTCATGACACTTCTTGTTTTAATAAAGAAAATACTGAACAGTAAGACTGATCACTGGCTTCTTGCTAAAAAATGCAGTAACACTCTCATATGCAAATTAAATAATAAAATAGGAACTAAATAAAAACAAAGACCAAGAAAAGAGCAAGACAAAAATCCTGATAGCTTTATATATATATTTTATATCTAGGCTTAAATTAAGAATGCAGGTTAATCTCAAAGAAAAGATGAAGAATAAATTAAAGTACTGCATACGTAGTTGAACTGAGGCCTTCAATGGTTGACATCATTTCATCATAAATATCTTCCTCTATCCTTCCCTTCTGAGATGAATTTCTGGGGATGAAATGAAGTCTGTGTGATGAATGCTGCTCAGAAACAAGTAATGTGTACAGAGCACAATTTCTCAGCACACAGTGGGTCAAGTCTCCAGGAAAAAGTTAAACCAGAATGCTCAAAACTTAATTAAAATTGATTAAATTTATTAAAATTGATAAATTGATTAAAAAATACACCCATGAGCACTTGATTTCTCTAGTAACCCAAATCATGCATTTTTCAAGACAGTGTTTTGACAAAAATTGATTAAAAAATACACCCATGAGCACTTGATTTCTCTAGTAACCCAAATCATGCATTTTTCAAGACAGTGTTTTGACAAACTGAGGGAATGTTCCACAAGAGAAAATCAGCTCCACATTTAACTCGGTACTACAGGTACCATTGACAATTCTTATCACATTAATAATGCCAACCAAACCCAAATCTTTCCACTGCTCTTTATGGGTCTTTCTTCCTGATTCCCTCTCACGCTGCTGCAGCCCAGCATGCAAAATAGAATCTGAATGACTGGAGGGACAGTAAGACAAGAAGCTCCTTTTACAGTCTGCTAATAATAACAAACATGAGCTGAGAAATCTTCTAAAGGCTGAAGACTATGGCAGGACTACCATACACAGTGATTAATCAACCAAATGATCACATTCTTACAGCACACTGAACTGCAAGGCAAGCACAGGAACACAAGAAAAAATAAAAGATACTTGACAAACCTATCAGAAGTTCTCTGGCGCCCAGTAGAACACAAGGGTATTTCCTAAATAAAATAGGAATTAAGGATACGTTACACACTTTTTGAATAGCAAACAACTATGGGAAATAAACATCAAGAATGTGCAAAAACCATTTTTATTCAGAAATAAAAGAAAGCAGAACCATTCTCAAACAGAAATGTTTCTAAAAATCAATCCTTCCCAGCAATCCTTTCTGCTTTAACAAGTGAGAAGTGAGTGTTTTCTGACAAAAAAAGATTGTTAGACCTTCCCTCTCATTCTTCTCTACACACCAAAATAATTAAGCATGCACCAGCAGAAGCAAGCAGACTGGAAATTACTTCCACACATCTAGATGGATGGATAGATGGATTGATAGATGGATGGATGGACGGATGCTTAAATTAAAAGTTTCTACAGCTGTGGCTCCAGGACCACACCTGAACGCATGCACATCTCCTGCTTCCAGCTTTCAGGAAGGGCAGATGGAAGTAAAATTTTATATTCTTATATTTTAAAATCTTAAAAACCTTAAGAATTACTGATCTTAAAAATTCTTTACTGATAAAATCCAATTGCCAGAAGAGCATGTGGAGGGACTACTTACTTTCTATACATTTCATTTAAATATTGAGTGCATCTATCCATTTGGTTTTGTTTTTGTTTTTGTTTTTTTTTTTACAAAAATCACATGCACCAGGCATCTCAAGATGGAAAAATAATAGGTCAAATAGATAGTTTTACTTTGAAGATTTGCTATGATGATGGTATGCTGGAGAGCTTGGCAGTGTGAGAATGGTGACGTTCTGAGAGAAGGAGATGCTGCACAGACACCCCCTCAGCTGCGCGCACTGAACACCAAGGCTAAGGGCGGACATGCAGCCACTGAAGTCAGGGGTAGAGTTTCACAGAGGAGTTAGCAGCTGCAGGCTGCCGATCACGGCTCGGGAGCTGACCTTCCTGCGCCGGCCCTGCGAGCCCGAGGAGTCGCTGCTGACGCTCTCGCGGTGGCTCAGGTGGGCGAAGGGCCGCGCCGCGCCCCAGGACTCCAGGTACCGCGTCATCCGCACGGACGCGCGCATCTTCAGCCCGTCGTTCACGCGCGTTTTGGGGAGGTGATTGTTTGATAGGCATTGCTTGGACTAACAGAAAGAAAACACTCTCGTGGACAAAAGAGAAATTCAGGCAAATAACACACAGAGCTTCAGTATTTTGTAGTGTAGTTTAAGATTAGACAAATCTAAGTGTTTTGTGGGGCTCTGAAGACATTAGCAACATGTCAGCCAACCTCAATTCCTTTATCTCATTTAATTAAGGTGAGCAAAGCAAATCACAGCACACAATGAATTGCTTCAGCTGCCTTTACTAGACTCAGCTTGCAACACTGCAACAGTCAAACTTCCAGGTTTCCGTACAGTGATGCAAGGGCTCACAGGATCTTATGAATAGATTCAGCTCCCTTGCAGTCAGCACTATAGCAGGGGGAAAAGGTGCCAAACCCCTGAGCTGGGGTGTATCAAAACAGTGGTTAGAGATTCCACAAATTACAGACTCCACATTAGATTATATCTCTGTGTCACAGGTGCTGAGTCAGGCAGTGCAGACAGGGTGTACAGAACACCCTTGCAGAACTACAGGGAAGCGAAAACTACAGAATAAACCAAGACATCAGTGACTGATAATTCTCTAACTTTTCACAAGTATCTTCGAGGAAGCAGAGATCATTTTAATAGACATAGGTCCTCATTCTGAGAGTATGTGTTGTGTGCAACTTGCTAATTAAAAGTGGCTCTATGCTGTTCCTGCAGAGATCAGAGGGGGATGAAGTTTCTCATCTGCATTCTTTTTTCATTTGAAACATTTTTCTCATCAACCACAAGCCAATTCAAAATAGCAATACTCCAGTGTTTGTAGCAACACACAGCTGCTAATTTCACACTCTGAATAGAAGGTGAATCTTAATTTTTAAATAGTGAGAAAGATGTCTGATGCTATTTTACAAGGCATATTTTAGCTGGAAGTGGCCACATAGTACAGGTTTTCTTTCATTCCTTCATCCTCATCTTTTGACCAGGGCTTTTGAGACACTTGACACAAATACATAGTCAAATATGTGTTTTTACTCTAAGTGGGTTACATAAGAGGTTTCAGCATAACACTACCTTTAAAGTAATAGGCATGTCATAGAAAGCAGGATGTGCTTTCAGATCTGAACTCTCAAATCCAGGCTACTCAGGTGACTCACACCATGCTTTAATTCTATTCATGAATTTAAAATCTGTATGCACCACAGAAACCTATGTAATTATGTGTGTATATTCTTGAATAAGTATATATTAAAAACAAATACATACCCTTGGATCGACCACTAAGTAGGTTTTGATATTCATGGATTCAAGGTAAGGATCCCTCAGGTGTCCATTCCCTTCTTCTACTTCATAAGCTTTGCCTAGGTGATTTAACGTTGCTTCAGTGATGTGAACACGGCTGAGAAGGGGAGAAAGAACAAGAGACCCAAACACTCACAGAAAGGTCACATTAAGCATTTCATTTACATTTCAATGGCCCCTGCTGACATTTCTGCTTTTCAGATATCCCCTGCTTTGGCAGCCAACTTAAAAATCCTGCCAGTACTTAAAATTATATTTGCAATCTTTTACCATAGTACATAATTCATAGCAAGCATGCTAACATACACTTCCCATAATGAGATAGTATTGGTATAAAATTAAATTGAAATAAGCAGGAAAGTAAATGAAGCAAGAAGAAACGTGATCAAAAGAGAACTGATGACTCACAAGACAGGCAGGCTCACAGGCAGGTTGTGAGACCCGCAGGGAAAATTCATGAACGAAACACAAGCAAGGACCTCTTTGTGCTAGAAACCCACGAGGGTGGGGGGAGACAAAGTCTGGGAAAAGAAAGCTGGGGAAGGTTTTTTGTTAACTCTGAGGAGAATTCTGAAAGTCTGCCTTTTCTGACTGAAACAATCTAAGGAAAAAGCAACACAGCAGCAACAACAATGCACTTCTGAGAAGAGAAGCCAGTATTTTTCTGTACCTATTCACACTTCCCCTTAAATGTTATTTTACTCAGTATCCCAAATCATGTATTTCTGTATAAGTTATAATATCTTTCCATCTAATTTCTCAACAAGAGACAGGAGGGAGTTCATAAACTAGCATTTCTTAAGTTCTACTTTCTCATTGTTCATCTTCCCATGCTTTTCTCACTTTTCTTTGTCACCAATCCATTAGCTCAGGACTGGGAAAAGCAAAATTCCAGAATGGTAACTGGCAGTGTGCAGCACTGCTGCCTAACTACAGACAGCAAAGGAATCACTGTTCCATCCACCTCTCCTTCTTAAAGCTGGACATAGGTTTGCATGAACGTAATGTGTCCAGGACCTGAAAACTACTGGCTGTAGCTTCTAAGAAGGAAGAATAAAAACTTTCACAATACTTTTCAAATCAATAGTAAGAGCTGAATTGTAGAAGGCGCTTTCATTTGTTTACTGGTAGTTTTCTCAAAAAAAATGTTTAATTGTTACTTTAACTACATACTTTTGCAATTAAGGTGAACCTTCAAATCTGAAATTTTAAAGTTTCCCCTAAAGCATAATTTTCTTACACAGACACTGGAGCATTCTGGTGGGTGATGTCTGTGCCCTGAGCCTTAAAACACAGCCATGTGCTGCAGCATGTTTCCTGTGCTTTTCCCTTTACTCCAAAAAGCAATACATTTGTTCACTACCCACCGTTTTGCATTTTACCAGGCTTCCTCTCCCCTCTCCTTCAAATCACACACTGACAAAGGACATTTCTGATCCTACTGCAAACTTCTCTGCCAATTAGATGCCAGTGATCTCTCAGCAGTTACTAATTGCTCATTGGATTCCAGGACAAGCACATAACCAAGAGCTGCTCTCCCAGGCAAGCTGGAGCACGCACTGCTGCCCTTGCCATGGCAGAACAGAACACCCAGCACACTGTGCCCAGTTTCCTGTGCTGACAGCAGAATAACACGTGCTGAGATTTCAGGCATTTGCATATTAGAGAGAACTGGTCATAAATGCATTGTTTTGGTTTTATGCTACTCTTTTCTGCTTTAGTAGCGTATTACGCTGCTATGAATGTAAGTAATTTTTAAAATCACAAGGAAGATGAACAAGGTTACCCTGACACTGGACAGAAAATACTTCAAAAGCTAGAAGTTTTCCTGCATCCCTTCTTAAGTCTTTAGAATTCCTTCATTTACAGAAACTCGAAATAGATAAGATTCCTATTTTAAACAAAACCTCTGGTTGGCTCCTAATGACAAAACTGTTTCCAAAGGAGCAGGACTAGCTAACATTGGAATGAGGAATCCCCAAGAAATAATTCCTTGCAGAGCAGGAAAAAAATAACACTTGCATAGCAAATAATGCCCCTTCCACCCTGTCAGGCTCAATCCTCCACAAGTGGAAGGTGTTTCCTCTGGCCAGTTTTGAAACGCAAGATGAGTGATACTACACAGCTATACATAGAGGAAGTAGTGAGAAAAACGTTTCCGGATCAGCATGACAATCTAAACCAGCTTAATTCTTTACCATCTTATCAACTATAAACCTGACAACCATAGAAGAATAATCAGAGTTTTCAAGATTAGGCAAAGGTCCTAAACGTGACTAACAAAGTGTGGTTTTGTGCCATATCCAGAGTCATGCTGTTTGTTTTACCAACAAAAGAAACTTTACAACTCTGTATTCTTGTTTAATCACACTGAATCAACACACTAAACCCTTCAGCCTGGCTGTGGTGTAACTGTTAATCAAGCTCCAAGTAGTTTTCTTTCTGTTTCAGTCACCAATATAATAAAGTATTTTGATATTCATAACCTCTTATCACTTAATAAACCACTTTAATTTTTAAATTACAAGCATATACCTAAAAGCTGTCTGAGGTACAGAAATAATAAGAAAAGCTACAATGTCACTGGTTAGAAACATTTACTAAAAGAAACCAATTTGCACAGACTACCCCGACACAAAAAAATTATGGTCTGATTGCAAATGTTGGTGGTTTTGAAAAACATTTACATTTGTTCTGTTCAAGGAGTGTCTTAAAAAGGCTACACGAGACCAACCTCAGCCCCAGTCCTTGTATCACCGAGCAGCACATGGCAAGTTATATTCCCACTCAGCCTCAATCCTCCCATTCAGCACCACTCCCTTCCCTTCCTTCTGCCCATGGCAAATGCACAACAAACAACAGCTCCAGACTCTCCTTGTTGGGATACTCCCCATCAGGGGGCATTTTAATTTCTGAGTTTTTTGTGGGGTTTGAGTCGTGGGGGTGCTGAATACAGAGCTGATATAACTCAAGTAGAACTGATCAATGCATTAGCAGAAACACTGGGTAAAGTCAGCTTGGCCTTGGCCTAAGGAGTACAACTGTTCTTTAACTGAACTCACAAACATGTTCATCCCTGTGAACAGCTGGATTAACTAAGTCAACATAATGCACATGAAGGGAAGGTCAAGAAGCAGTCTCTTGCCTAAGAAGAATAGAATTTTACAGCTCATTGAAAACCCAATCAGAAAATACTAACATTTTACAGCTCTACTACATACACATCTGTCCTATTTCCACCACCCCACGGTGAGGATGTGTCATGGCACAGTGACAGACCCTGCGTCGTGCCAGCCCGGCTCGGCTGTGGGGAGGGTACCCAGCCCTGCACGGAGGAGCCC